GCATGGTGCGTCCTTCTGCCAAGGAGCCTAGAGGCCTCTGTGTGCTGAGATGGTTTCACCTCCTCAATGCCAAGAAGAAAGTGAGGCTACCACACAGAAATGGAGTTCCCAGGACGCGGAGGGCAGAGTCCGCCCAGAGCCAGGACCATACCAGGAAATTGGCAGAGTTCTATCCCATAAATATCACGTCATTTACACCTCACCACTGCTGCGGTGGGGAACGTTGCTCCCACTTCGTAAGTGAGGCCACCGCAACACAGAGAGGTTAGGCCACCGACACAGGGTCACACAGCTACTGAGTGGCAGGGCCAGAGGACATCCCCATAGTCCAACGGGACCACTGACGTTTAGACAAGTCCCTTCCTCTCTCTACATCCCAGCTGCCCCACAGGTAACATGAGAAGGTGGGGCTGAGAACACTAGACACCTTTTGCTAATATTGGTGTCTGTGTCCTAAAAGCATTTAAGTCTTCATCTGGGAGCAAAAATTTAACATCTCCTTCCCCAGGGAAGGAAAGGGAGGAGGAGGGGGAGGAGGGGACCCAGAGTTCAGTTTCAGCCCCTTCCTTCACGTTCTCATGCACTAGTATATGTCAGAGCTTGGGATTCAGTGATGACAATGATACAGGCCCCATTCTTCAGGGCTCACAGACACATCTCCCAGAGAAAACATACACATCAAAAACGGGACATGCACACACTGATAGAGATGCATACAGCAAGCTATGGGATCAGAGGGGAGACAGCAGCTCACTCTGACCGTGAGTGAGTCATTTAAATAATTCTGGGCTTGGGTATCTGCATTTTTGAAACAAAATGGCCGTACCTCGCACTTTGCAGAGGGACAGCTCATGGCACTTGCGTTAGGAATTCAGGGAGTGTGTGATAGATCTGAGGAGGCCTGGGGCTTTCTCCAAAGTCCCCGGATTCTCTTAGGCCATATGGCCTGAATCCTTCGCATCCATTTGCCCACAGACCAGCCCGCAGGGAGCCCTTGGGGCCCGGGCCCTCTACAAGGTGTCCTCCTGCAGTCCATTTTCTCCACGATTTGCCCCCTTCCAAGCTTTCCTCTAGGTTGTGCTGGTGCCTTGGCCTTCTCTCCTAGCAGTTCAGAGGCAGGAGTGGGTGAAAGCCAAGCTCTGGAGAATCAGCAGATATTGGCTTGAGTCCAGCTTGGCTACTTAGCTAGATGGGAAACTTGGGAAAAGTACTTAACCTCTTTGAGCCTCAGTTTCCTCAGCTGTGAAGAAGGGATGAGGAGAATACTTGCTTTCTAGGGGCTGTGGTGAGGGCTGAATGGGGGGGTGCAAGGAAGCCCTGAGCAGGGAGTGCTGAGTGAAGGGGCCTCTCCCCACCCCCGTTGTTAGTAGTGCAAGGTCAAGTATGGCAGGGTTCTCTGCACCTGTACTAACCCTGTTCAAGTCTACAACATGCTAAGATGGGCTCCCCCCAGGCTGTGTCCAGGTCCCCATTTGTTCTATCTATCCAGAGGCCTGAAGAGGGAACTACAGCGGTCCTGGAGGGATGCCGAGGGGGGAGTTAAAGTCCACACCAGCTGTGTGATCATGGGCAAACTGCTTACCCTCTCTGGGCCTAAGCTTCCCCAGTGGTAAGATGGGGATAATGACACCTTTCTCACAGGTTGTTGTGAAGAGTAAATGAGGTGCTCTAAGTTAAGGGCTTGGCACATAATGGACACCCCCTTCTCTCTCTATCCGAAAGCTCAGTGCCTGCTAATGGAACACACAGTGGTCTATGAATGTCCCACCAACCATTCCTGCCATAGCCTGGAGAGGTCCTTGCACTTCCTCTAGGGCCACAGCCTCTCTGCTCATTGTCCCATCCTCACTTCCACCCAGGAGGGCTCTGGGTCTGAGGAGCTTGGCTTCTCCAGGGTGAGGTGGCTGAAGGTGCCACCTGGTCTGCTGGGTACATCTGTGGGGTACGACCCCAACCTTTAGCTGACACCTTCCAGACAAGCCCTTTTCTCTTATGGGCATCTCATGTCAGCCTGTGAGTTAGGAGTTCAATAATAACAAAAGACGACAATGATAATAACAAATGTGGTGGCTGCCCACGTGCCAGGGACAGTGCTACACCTGTCACCACCTGACAGAATGGAGAGAGTGATCTTGAGGGGCTTCGGGGCAGGTCTGTTGACTCCATCTCACAGAGGAAGACCCTCAGAGGCTCTAAACAAGATGCTCAGTGACTTACCAGAAGCCAACAGCTCACACTGGCGCAGCTGGGGACTTCATCCAGGTCCGGCTTTCTTTGAGCCTTTGGCTTTCTTAGGTAAAGGAGAAAAGAAAACGTAGGCTGGAGATAGCCTGAAAAGTTTTAGTCTCTCATCTTTGAGTACATGTTATGATTTATTTTATCATTATCTTCCTGGATGAGGACCTCAAGCAAGAGTTCAGCTTCCTGGCACCAATGCCAACTCACAGTCCACTGCCAGCAGGTGCTCTCAGGACCTTGCTGAGATCCACATCCTCCGCCTTATCCATGTCCTGCTGGTAGTCCATCTCCTCCCTGTGGTCCTCATCCTCTTTGTGATCTGTGTCTTCCCTGTGGTCCACACATCACCGAGATCTTCATCCTCTCCATGACCATGTCCTCCCGGTGATCCTTGTTCTCCTCACGATCCACATTTTCTTCATGGTTTATGTTCTCCCATGATCCTGTCCTTGCCGTGATCCACATCCTCCCCATGATTCTGTTCTCCTTGTCATCCACATCCTCTCCATGATCCATGTCCTGCTCGTGATCCATGTCCTTTCTGTGATCCTCATCCTCCCCATGATTGTGTTCCATTTCTGATCCCTCCGTGATCCCTTTTCTCCTCATGATCTCCATTCTCTCCATGAGCCATGTTCTCCCTATAATCCTATCCTCCTTATGATCCACATCCTCCCTGTGACCCACATGCTCTCTGTGATCCACGTCCTCCCTGTGACCCACATGCTCTCTGTGATCCACGTCCTCCCTCTGACCCACATGCTCTCTGTGATCCACGTCCTCCCTGTGACCCACATGCTCTCTGTGATCCACGTCCTCCCTGTGACCCACATGCTCTCTGTGATCCACGTCCTCCCTGTGACCCACATGCTCTCTGTGATCCACGTCCTCCCTGTGACCCACATGCTCTCTGTGATCCACGTCCTCCCTGTGACCCACATGCTCTCTGTGATCCAGGTCTTCCCCGTGATCCACATGCTCTGTGATCCACATCCTCCCTGTGACCCACATGCTCTCTGTGATCCACGTCCTCCCTGTGACCCANGAGAGAGTGATCTTGAGGGGCTTCGGGGCAGGTCTGTTGACTCCATCTCACAGAGGAAGACCCAGAGGCTGCAAACAAGATGCTCAGTGACTTACCAGAAGCCAACAGCTCACACTGGCGCAGCTGGGGACTTCATCCAGGTCCGGCTTTATTTGAGCCTTTGGCTTTCTTAGGTAAAGGAGAAAAGAAAATGTAGGCTGGGGATAGCCTGAAAAGTTTTAGTCTCTCATCTTTGAGTACATGTTATGATTTATTTTATCATTATCTTCCTGGATGAGGACCTCAAGCAAGAGTTCAGCTTCCTGGCACCAATGCCAACTCACAGTCCACTGCCAGCAGGTGCTCTCAGGACCTTGCTGAGATCCACATCCTCAGCCTTATCCATGTCCTGCTGGTAGTCCACCTCCTCCCTGTGGTCCTCATCCTCTTTGTAATCTGTGTCTTCCCTGTGGTCCACACATCACCGAGATCTTCATCCTCTCCATGACCATGTCCTCCCGGTGATCCTTGTTCTCCTCACGATCCACATTTTCTTCATGGTTTACGTTCTCCCATGATCCTGTCCTTGCCGTGATCCACATCCTCCCCATGATTCTGTTCTCCTTGTCATCCACATCCTCTCCATGATCCGTGTCCTGCTCGTGATGCACGTCCTTTCTGTGATCCTCATCCTCCCCATGATTGTGTTCCATTTCTGATCCCTCCGAGATCCCTTTTCTCCTCATGATCTCCATTCTCTCCATGAGCCATGTTCTCCCTATAATCCTATCCTCCTTATGATCCACGTCCTCCCTGTGACCCTCTCTGTGATCCATGTCCTCCCTGTGATCCACGTCCTCCCTGTGATCCACGTCCTCCCTGTGACCCACATGCTCTCTGTGAACCACGTCCTCCCTGTGACCCACATGCTCTCTGTGATCCATGTCCTCCCTGTGACCCACATGCTCTCTGTGATCAATGTCATCCCTGTGACCCACATGCTCTCTGTGACCCACGTCCTCCCTGTGACCCTCATGCTCTCTGTGATCCACATCCTCCCTGTGACCCAAATGCTCTCTGTGATCCATGTCCTCCCTGTGACCCACATGCTCTCTGTGATCCACATCCTCCCTGTGACCCACATGCTCTCTGTGATCAACGTCCTCCCTGTGATACACATCCTCCTAGAGATTCACATCCTCCCTGTGATTCCTTACTCCTTGTGATCCGCGTCCTCCACGTGATCTTGTCCTTCTTCTGATCCACTTCTTTCTTCTTGTGATTCACATTCTTCTCTTGATCCACATTCTCCCCATGATCCATATTCTCCCCATGATCCATGTCTTCCTCATGCTTTGGCTCCAGACAAGCTGTACCTTCCCCAAAAGACTGCTCTGGTTATGGCAGACAGGGTAGTCGCTCCATGGCTGGACACAAGCCTCGTGCGCAGTTGAGGCTGGATTCAACCTTGGTCAAGTGACAGATTGATAGGGCCTAGTCTTGAGCAGTGTCTTCCATGACACTGGTACATCATTTTTCCCTGCCTTTCCTGTGCTGTTCTCCTACCTGAAGTCCTCTTTTCTACCTCTGCTCCACTAGCCAGGCCTCTTCTAGTGACAGATTGATAGGGCCTAGTCTTGAGCAGTGTCTTCCATGACACTGGTACATCATTTTCCCCTGCCTTTCCTGTGCTGTTCTCCTACCTGAAGTCCTCTTTTCTACCTCTGCTCCACTAGCCAGGCCTCTTCTATCTCCCAGGTCACTTCAGGTGCCACTCTCTCCAGGAAGCACCCCTTGGCACTCACGTTCAGTAAGGCACTCTTCTCCGTGGCTGCTACTGCCCGGGTCTCCCTCTGTGGCAGCCCCCAGAAGGTGTCATGTGATTGTCTCCTCCATCAGATTGAGTGCTCTGAGAGCAGAGGCCTGTCTCCATCATCCGTGGACCTCAGAACAGATGTTGGGGCTAGTCAGGCAGGACTAGCTCTGCTGCAGGAATAAATAACCCTGGAAATTTCCATGGCTTAGCACTTTGCAGGTTCATTTCCTGCTCAAGTTGAAGTTTGGTCTGGTCATGCGGTTCTTCTCAGCTATGTTGCTTTAAGCATTTCTGTCAGGAGTGTGGCCTTCTCCCTTCCCCATGGAGGGAGGAAAGAGCTGGAGGGACTCACGGGATGGTGCTCAGCTGGGCCTGGAGGTCCACATGCCACTTCTCCCATGACCCTGTCTGGAACGAGCCACAGGGCCCAGCCAGCTGGAACACGCTAAGGACCAGGTGAGGGGCACGCAGTTTCTCTGCCACAAGGTTAGAGAGGTCGGCTTCAGCTCAGCTGTAGGGAGAACTCTCTAACAGAGAGCTCATGACGTGGGATGGTTTCCTGGCTCAAGAGACTTAGAACTACCTAGTTGATAGCAGTAAAGTCGCTTCCCTTTCCTTTGGTCAGAGACTTGAGTTCAGACAAAAATCAGCTTTCTGAAAACAAGGGGCTGGGCCCTGGAAACTCCCGTTTAGCCCTGTCAGTCTTGAAGAAGTGGGGTGTTCCCAGCTCTCCGCATCCTTTGTCCTCTGTGAGCTCCCTTAGCTTGGAGAGGTGACTTCTTTATTCTCGGGAGCTGCTATTTATAACTTCCAAAGGACCCCTACTCCTTTGGTTCTGTACCGAGGCTCAGAAAAAGGGTCTGCCCTCCCCCAGCAGCCCTCCCCCCAAACCCTAGGCCCCTCTACCCCCAGAGCAATCCTGTAATAAAGGATGAAAGGCCCCGTAATTATTACCATTCGACAACACAGAGACTGTCAAAACCAGGAGTCCAACAAAAGCCTTTACATAAATCACAGCTGATACAATGGCTCTTAGCTGAAGGGGAGAGGGGCTTAGAGTCTCAGCGCCACTGAAAGAAGGTTTGTGTCTGGGGGAGGGATTGCCAGAGTCAGGCAGCCCCAGGGGATGAGACAAGCCTGATGTCTGCACAGAGGGCGAGCCCATCAGCCTGCCCGCCTGAGACAGAGGCCACGGAACGGAACAAGAGCGAGAATCCGGGGGCAAATTCCAGATGTGACATCTCTACAGGGCCAGGACTGGGCAGGTCGCATGCCACCAGCAGTTTGCAGTCTAGCCCAGCAGCATGGGACCCCTGGGAGGACGTGCTGACCGGCTGTGGTGCCAGGCAGAGGCAGTCGCAGTCACTGAACTGTGGGCTGCCAGGGGGAGGCTTCCCGAAGGCGATGTGCCTTGTAGGAAAGGTCATTTTCTGACAGGCATAGAGGAGAGTGGGACCCTCTGGGTTGAGCAATCTGGCTGAATCAGGTCGCATTTCTTGAGAGTGTGTCCACAGAACTAGATTTCCACAGTGACCCCTTGAAGAGCCCTGTTTCAGAAGGACAAAGACTTCTCTAGGGTGTGGCAAATTCCAGAAAAGCAGGGAAATTGGTAGGACATTTTATATCTCTGGGCACAATTATTCTTTTTGAACAAGCCATTCCGTGGCACATTAAGGATTCAGTGGCATTTAACACTTTCTGTTGTCTTCTCTTAGGCTCCGTGTTCTACTCCACACCTACTGCTTTTTCCCTTGAAGATGAACATGACACTGTCCTTAGGATATTTAGAGTCCGGGAAAGGTGGTAGGTGTGTGACGTGGGTGACCAGTGCAGGCCGGGCTTGCGCGGCAAACCTCCTGGGGTGGAGTCCCAGCCCCGCTGCTCCTGGCTTGCTGATCTTGGGTGAGTCATTCAATCTCTCTGGGCTTCAGTCACATCAAAATATTCATGGGAGCTATGAGGATGAAAAGAGAACCAGGACAATGTCTGGTATCCAGTCCCTGCACTGTGAGCATCGGTCTCATTTTAAGTTGCTTGGATACTGAGCCATGATTTCTAAAGCATACTAGCATCTGTTCTCCAATCTGATCCTAATGTGACAGGGATGAATTTAACCTCCTCACTTGAAAGATAAGACTGAGGCGCATCGGTCTCATTTTAAGTTGCTTGGATACTGAGCCATGATTTCTAAAGCATACTAGCATCTCTTCTCCAATCTGATCCTAATGTGACAGGGATGAATTTAACCTCCTCACTTGAAAGATAAGACTGAGGCGCAAAGAGGGAAACTGACAGACCTGAGCTCACACAGCCAGAGTGGCCATAATGGTCTCACTGCACATGGTGTATGTGCTGAGGTCACTGCACGGGGGCTTTGCCTCTTTGGTGCTGGGTTGGTGAACAGGGACTATGAGTTCACCAGGGGATCCTTTAGGCAGCTCGGGGCCTGAGGCCAAACCTGACCCCTTCCCAGAGCTGAGCTCTTCTGCCCAGGGCTACCTCTGGCATGCACATCCTTGAGCCCAGATGCCTTCTCCAGACCACAGCAATTTGGATCTGCATGGCGCTGGGGTGGAACCCCACTTCGGGGAATGGTGTGGTCACCACTGGTCTCTCTGGGGACCTGGTTAACCTCATCCTTCTTCACCCAGGATGGCTGCATGCAGCTGCTCCACATTCTACCTCAATGGAACCCCCAAGTAATCTGCCAGGGGACAGTCTGTGAAGGTCCCACTGTGGACTTCTAATACTCTGTGCTGTTTCTAGTGAGCCATAGCTCTGGTGTTCAGAATGAAAGCAGGACCCAGTGGGGTACATGGTAGCTCCTCAAACGACATATCCCTAGACTCCAGTGACAGTGACCCTAGAGGTGTGCATGTGTATGTGTGTGCCTATGTGTGTAGGGAGCCTCCAGGGCAGCAAATCCTTTGTGAGAGTGGAGTTGATGGGGGCAGGGGGTAATGAAGACCACATCCAGGTGGGCTTGAGAAGCCACGGGAAGGAGAGGGAAAGGGCTGTGGAGGAAAACAAAGGTCAGACATTAGGAATTGCCTTATAAGTGGCCACCCCAGTTACATCACAAACGGTGCCCCGACCCTGCCTGCCCAGGAGAAAGCTGGCTGCAGTCCTGGGAGCTGCACTGGGCTGATCCTCAGGGACTATCACCAGAAATAAATCCTGGGCAGGCAGCACGGTGCTTTTCAAACTATAAGTGTGACTCACTCATGGTTCCTCATGTCAATTTGGTCTGTCAAGATCTGCATCGAAAAACACAGGGTAATATATAATAGAACTGAAAATGGAGTGCATCGCACATAGTAAGGTGCATAATATTTCAGTAAACTTTCGTGTGTCTAGATCTATCGTGGGATGTAATGTAAAGTGTATTTCTTATTGTACAATTAAGAAAACATTTCGAAACTCTCCTGTGCTTTTTCAGTCTCTGAAATACTCAGTGCTGTGCTCAGGCAGAATGGGCTTCAAATGGCTGCTCTGGGCCACTGGACAGGTAGCTCACTTTCGGGTCTCAGTATCTATATCTGTCAGATGTGGTCAGCCAAGCGGTCTGGACAGAGCCCCTGGGAGGGTCACAGGGGCTGAAGCACATGAAGTGATTGGCACATGGACCAGGCTCACTCAGTGTTCATTCCTCGGCTCCCTTCCCCACCCAAGCTGTGGGGTGGGCGGTGGGGGGTGGAGGGTGGCATTTCATGGTGGGGAAGACTAGGCTCCAGTGATGTGGGGCACCACTGCTCCCAGGCAGCCTCTCCCAGTGCCAAGTTGAGCTGCCCACTGCTCTATCAGACATCCCTGTGTGCTGTCCCCATTGAAGTTAAGGTCAACTTCTAATTTCCATGTGGGGATGGTAGACACTGTGGGCCGGGTACCATCCCTCCTTCCCCTTGTGCATCAGACACAGCCTGGTGCTGAGCTTCGGGAAGCAGGGAGGGAGGCAGGATAGTATAGGACATCTGTCCATCCGTCTGTCTGTGGTGCTGCGCTGGTGCTTGGACCACCCTCTGCTCGCCTGTTTTCTCCCCTTCACACCACCTGACAGACTTAAACAGAAAGCCAGCCTGGCCAGACCTGCCCCCTGAGTTGGTGGCACGGGGGAAGATGAGAGAATTAACTTCTGGCCCACTGACAGTGGCGCAGCCTGCCAAAGCCGCCCGGGTAATTTGGTTCCTTTCCTTTGTTGACTTGGTGCCAGCGCACAAGAGCGGATTAAGCAGGGAAATTCTGCATGGAGAACTCTCCCCCTTGGCGCTCCGATCCCATTGTCCCCTGAGAATGACAGCCACTGGTGGTGCCAACGCACACCGCTCCACTGGCACATCCCCAGAACAGATCAGCTTCCCGTTCCTGAAAAGAGGGATTTGTTAAAGAACCAGAGTTAAAAGAAAGTAGGAGAGGCAGGAGAGGATGAGGCCATGGAGTAAAAGTTACGCCTGGCTTGTTAATTAAAGAAGCAAGGTCCTCTGATGCTAATGACGACACCTGCAGGGACGTTGGTACTTCTCAAACTGGACCCCTCTGGGGGGTGATTTCAAAGCTCCCACACTCCCTGAGCACCTCCTGGGCACCTGGCATTGGGCTTGGGGCTAGTTGGTGATGTGCAGATTAGCAACCAGCCCCCTTAAGAGAGATACATCAAAGAGTCCTTCTCTGTTCTCGGGAACACAGACACTTATACAGATAACTGGGACGATAGTAGCTCCTATTTTTTGAGCGCTTACTATGTGCTCTGTTTTAAGCATTTCATTCACATCAACTAATTTAGTAATTCTAACAGCCCTATGAAGTCTGTGTCACTGTCATTATTATATCCCTACTTTAAAGATGGGAAACACAGGCATAGACATTGATGGACAGTTGATGTTAGCAACTGCTCTCTGGAAAAAAATAAAAATAAACACAAGCCTGAAAAAGTTGCATTTGCCACTTTCTGTGGTGTCCATACTCCCACTATGCCCAATCTCAAGCTCCCAGTGGGAGGTCACTGGACACGGGGCTGGGAGGAGACACAAACTGGCTTCAACACACCAGTGGATGTTAAGAAACTTGTCCCAGCTCATGCAGTAAGAGGCAGAGTCAAGATGTGTGCCCAGGTCACCTGGTTCCTGAGCCATCCCCATGCTGCCCAACCTCTGATGGCTGAGAGCAGGGACTCAGTGCTGGGGGAGGGGGTTTTCCTGGAGGCTGCGATGAGCATGTGACATGCCAGGCCCTCTACACTCCTGCCTGGCCAGCAGTCCTCTTGTCCCCCTGTCCTGCTTTGTCCTCCTCCCTGCAAGCGATCGAGCCCAATAACCCTCGGTTCAAGAAACCTGGGTTTACCACAACCCATTTTCTGATCTGTAACATAAAATGTTGAGCCATCTTCAGTATCCCAGGTAAAAACATTTTGTAACCACTAATGAGATCTTTAAATCTGCTCTTTGTACACCATTTTCATTTCATTATCACAGCATGTTTGAAAGAAATACGGTTAAAATTCTTCAGCACACGTAAAAGAAGGGTCTCCTGCTGCCAGTTTCTCCTCTTCCATGTATCCTGCATGCTGGCCGATTTACCTTCTCAAACCCAGTTGTGCTAACAGTCTCCTGCTGGGAATCTTGAGTGGCTCCCATTACACACAGATCGAGTCCGGGCTCCTTAGTCTGGCGATCAAAACCTGCCAAGCTCATGTACACATGCATCCGTCCAACTATGTGACAGACAAGCACACTACCAGGTGAAGGATGGCCATCTCAAATTTAGTTTTGTTACTTTTTTTTTTTCCTTTTTGTCATTTTTTAATGACTGGTAACGGGATCGCAACCCTTGGTGTCGCGCCTGTACCGGGGACTGGCAACGGGATCGCAACCCTCGGTGTTGCACCCGCACCACGCTCAGCCAGTGAGTGGGAACTGATCTCCACATGGGATCCGAACCCTCGGCGGGAGTGCCGCTGCGCTTCCAAGCGGCGCACTCTCCAGTGCGCCACCGGGCCGGCCCAGTTTTGTTACTTTTTATTCACTCATTCATTCATATAATCGATCAGTCATCATTGAGCATTTATTATAGGCTAGGTTCTGGAGACACAAAGGTAAATAAACATGATACAGAGTCTGCTTTAGACGACCGTATATCCCAGGGAAATCTGACTGTTCCTCTCCATTTTCCTACCTCTATGCTTTTGCACACACTATTTTCTTTTCTGGGAAGACCCTGTCTACATTTCTGAATATCCAATTTTATTAATTATTCAAGATCACAATGATGCCTCCTTCATAAAGCATCCCCTGTCTTCTGCCTCAACCCACCGAGCTGGAACTGATGACACCTTCTCTGAACTCCCACAGCAATCCTTTGTCCCCTCATCTGATCCTACTCTTTCTTGTCTTGGATTAAAGCCATTTGCCTCCAAGGCCGTTCTCTGTTGCTAAAACCTGACCTTCTGGAGCTTTGGGACTCAGTGAATCCACACTCACATCTCCTCAGCAAGCAGGTG